CCCGGCAACATGTAAAGAGGAGACCACACAGCAAGTAGGTCTTACCCTCTGGTAAGTAGGGCTTACCCGGAGAAAGCAGACTGGTTCATGGTTTTTTAAATCAAAACATAAGTAATCATCCAAAAATGTAAAATGTGGGAAACTATGTGACATAATATTATAATATTTACAATAAATAACTATCAGAAAATGAGAAATAAAAGATAATTCTTCAACCTGATAAAAGGTTTTCTCTCTAAACTTCATAGATGTGACAAATAACCTCACTAGTGGCAAAGGGCTGAAAGCATCCTTAAGTTTGTTTTGTAGATCCATGTAGAATTCAGCAATCTACAACCAAGTGCCCAAGACTCATAATAAACTTAACAAGGTTGTAGAACTGAGTTTTATTATATCAAAATCAATGGTCTTTCTACACGCCAACAACAAACAATTAAATTTTAATTTGCTTAAAGGAACATTAATAATTGCACCCTTAAAAGGAAATAATTAGGTACAAATCTAATGAAATACCTTCACTACTGTGTATTGAGCTCTATCTAGTGTTGATGAGATAAATGTATCAAGCACATAAGCAATTTATTGTGCGTAATACTTGAAAGATTAGATACTATTGAGACACAAATTCTCTTCCAATTGACTCACAGATTCAATGCAGTCCTAATTAAAACCACGGAGACTTTTGTAGATATTAATAAACTGTTTCCAAAATCTATATGGAAAAGTAGAGTAAAAGAAAAGCCAAAACAAGCTTTAAAAATCTCAGACAGAGTCAGGCTGCATGTTTTCATAGGCTACTATGCATCTGTAACAACCAGCATTCCATGATGCTGGTGATCTGACAGAAATATTGATAAATTCAATAGAAGATTCAAAATTTTACCTCTCTGGGGCATTCTAAGTTTCTTAGTTTTCTTCATTTCTTTTCTTTGTGCATCTATGTCTTACTGCATTTTCAGAGACATTGTTTCAAAATCTCTCCCAAAGTTTCAACTCAGTGTTCATACTTCTAACATCCACAAAGTACCTTCATCTCCCATTAATTACTCCTTTTATTTTTTATTTTTTTGTCCTGGGTTTGCTTCCTTGATAAGAGGGTCTCCTTCAGATAACATGTTTTCTGCACATACATTGTTTCTGAGTCTATCAAATAATTTTAGTTATCTTGGTCCTTTTGTCCACCTTGAAGAGTGATTCACCCACCCATATAAAGCTAGCTTGGAGCTTCATAGACTTCACAGATGGCTGATCAGCACACTTTCCCATTAGATACCTGAAGGACAAACAATTATTTGTTTCTTTTGGAAGATCCCACATTCTATTTTATGGCAGCATTTTATGTTATGTGATTCATTACTTTCCGGATAAAAATTAGCACTTTCGTCTAAGGAGGCATTTCTGATTGACTGCTTGATCTGGAGAGTACAGCTAGAGAGAGCAGTCAGAGGTTTGTGTTCAGCTTGTCCGCTCACTTCCTCACTGCTTTTGCCTCTGCTACTCTGTGAAGAGTGTTCATAATTCTTTTTTTTTCATTTTTAAAATTTATTTATTAAATTTAATTTTACATATCAGCCACGGATTCCCTTGTTCTCTCCCCTCCCACCCCCCACCCAACACCCGCCTTCCCCCCCAGCCCATGCCCCATTCCCAACTCCTCCAGGGCAAAGACTCCCCCAAGGATTGAGTTCAGCCTGGTAGACTCAGTCCAGGCAGGTCCAGTCCCCTCCTCCCAGGCTGAGCCAAGTGTCCCTGTATAAGCCCCAGGTTCCAAACTGCCAGTTCATGCACTGAGGACAGGACCCGGTCCCACTGTCTGGATACCTCCCAAGCAGATCAAGCTAATCAACTGTCTTATTTATCCAGAGGGCCTGATCCAGTTGGGGGCTCCTCAGCTATTGGTTCATAGTTCATGTGTTTCCTTTTGCTTGTAATTCTTAATATACACCACTAAGTTTCCCTAGAGGATAAACGACTAATCTCATGGAAGGTAGAGTGGACCACATAGGAGAAGAGAAATGCGGATACATATGCAGAAGGAAGGGACCTTGGGTACCAATCACTGTCTTTTATAGATTTTCAGCTAAGTTTATCTTTGACCTTCATTCCATATCCCTACTTCTCCATGGTCTCATGCCTCTCTATTCTCAGATTCTCTGCAGAAAAATTAGTTTGTTTTTATATCACCCTTTCTGTCTTCCAACCAATACAACTTTACCAACCATTATAAATAATTATCATTTTCTAGGTAAGTTCTGCTTCCAAAATTGTCTTCAAATCTAGCTTGTGCTAGTGTCTCCTCTCTCACTTTCTTTGTTAGTGTGGTGCACTGCTTATCTGAATGGTCCTCTATTAAATTCTTACATTTGAGAAGATGCAGTCTTACCTCCAACCATTTCCCCCTCTGGTATTATCCGTAGTAATCTTCATAAAAGAAAACTATGATGGAGACCCAGACACATTCCTTCAGTTTCTCATAAAGCTTAGAGACTACTTTTTGCTGAATGTAAATATATAATCCAAAGCACAAATCTTTAGTCATTCATCAATTTGATTTATAAAAAGATGTGATGATTTCTGTAATCTAAGAAATAAAGCTTGCCTGAAGATCAAAGGACAGAGCAAGCCACAGAGTTAAACATAGAGGTCAGGCAGTGGTGGCACACACCTTTAATCCTAGCACTTGGGAGGCAGAGATTGGTCTGGATCTCTGTGAGTTCAAGGCCACACTGGGCTACATGAGATTAATCCAATCTCGAGCCAGGCAGTGGTGGTACACACCTTTAATCCCAACACTTGAAATCTCATGCCTTTGCTACCAGTATTTGGGAAGCACACATGCCTTGAAGCACTAGGAAGATTGAGATAGGAAGTGAAATGGCTGGGAGGAGAAAGGCATGCAAGGTGTGAGGAGACAGAATCAGAGGTATTCTGTCAGAGGATTTGTGGAGTCGGCGAGGTAAAAAGTGGCTGTGGCTTGTTCCTTTGTCTTCTGATCTTTCAGCATTTACTCCAATATCTGGCTCCTGGTTTTTATTATAAGACTATTTATGATTTGTGCAACAAGAAGTCAAGCACAGGACAAAACCTATCTCCTGAACTATAACTGACTTACAGAATGGACTCAGTATTCTATCCCCCAAGATTCTTTCCATCCCATGTAATCCTGGCCAGATTAGGGAATTTTTCTTCTTTATATTTGTCTTGCACATTGTCAATATTGTCACATAGTTTATAAATATTTAGTTTCCACCCCCACTATTGGATGGAACTTTGCAAATTTATAATTGTATTTTGTCTTTGGAATTTATTTTTGATTCCTATTTTATTATAACCACAAATATGTTTGATTAAAAAAAATAAAGTCTTTAGTGCCCAAATAACTTGCCCATTCCACCTTCCTATAGTAAGCACCTATTCCTGGTATACACGGCAAAAATTCTACTGAAATGATTGTGTTAATTAGTACATCAAAAATTGGACAGGAATGTATTGTTTATTTGGAAACACATTCAAGAAGATAAAATTTTTGACATGAGTAGCTAACACCTAGTTACTTTCACTTGCTAATTGCTATAATTATTATTTGATAAAGTCAATTGTCTTGTCAGGGTTTCTATTGCTGTGAAGAGACACCATGATCACAGCAACTCAGGAAAACATTTAATTGGGGCTGGCTTAAATTTTCAGAAGTTTAGTCCATTATCATCATGGCATGAAGGCAGGAAGCATGCACACAGACATGGTGCTGGAGAGATAACTAAGAGTTCTAAATCTTGATCTGCAAGCAACAAGAAGTGAATTGTATCCCACACTGGGTGTAGCTTGAGCACATGAGACCTCAATGACCACCCCCACAGTGACATACTTCCTCCAATAAGGCCATCCCTACTCCAATAAGGCCACATATCCTAATAGTGCCACTCCCTATAGGTCAAGCATTCAAACACATGAGTCTATAAGGGCATACCTATTTAAACCATCATATCAATATATCTATTTTTGTTCTGATAGCAAAACAAAACAAAACAAAAAACCATAGAAACGTCATTGTTCTGGCTGAACCTATCAGAATGGAAACACACCATGATGAATGGAATCAGTCTATGTGTGTTTGTGCACATGTATTTAGGTGAAACTTGATTCATCTTGTTAGGATCAAAGTTTGACAAGCTCGCATTTCCTTCTTTAGTCTCATTCAGTATAGAGGAACCAGCAATTACTACCTCACTTCTGTTCTGGGAAATGACATTAAGTCTTTTTCCTGTTAACACTGGATTATTATTACTGTTTTTGAGTGTTATCCCTGTGCAGAGGCCATGCTAATAGTCTCAGTATCGTTACAATTTTAATATATGTGCTGCCAAACAAGCACTTATTCTATTTTTTAGTTTATTTGTTGAGAAAGGGTCTTACTCTGTAGCCCTTGCTCTCCTAAAACTTGCTTTGCAGACCAGGCTGGCCTTGAGCAATGTCTCCAGCCCCAAATCTGAATTATTAAAGGACTCTCTTTCAACCTCTGGTAATTTCTCAGCAAGGAAAGAGTAAAGAAAGGGATCCTAGTAAGAACCTGATAAAATTGTTAGTAGCTATCCAAATACTATTTGCTCTATTTATTTGAGACATTTTTTAGCTTTAGGGCAATCTGAGATAGATATATCAAATATTTTCAAAGATATTCAGTTATAAAGTAGTCATTCTAATTAAATTAGAATTTTGCTTCACAAAAGAATTCATTAAAGGACACATTTAAATAAAGAGGCTCTCTTACATCCAAGTATCTGTTAATAAATGACTAGGCACGAGATATGGAATCAGGAAAACATGTTTCAATGTTTTTGGTATGCAGTATAGATTACCTGAGAAATATAAGAAATTTGATATGCACCCATACTTACAGCAACCTTTAAGTGAGATTTTCATGGCTAACCTGATTTCTTTGATATTTGCTTCCATTTCTTATGATCAAAGTTGTTTAGATTGACTGATAAAAAGCTAGGTACCTTGAAGTAATATCACGGATTATAGGCATTGAAATGTCACTTGGAGTATCTTCTGCAGTGCTGACTTGGGTTCCATTGCTTTTCATGCAGGCATCTTTTGTACAGACTTCCACCTGCAAAGATTAGTTTGGAAAGGAGTAAATATAATCATCTTCAAAACAGACCGACAACAGTCTGAATCCACCTTCCCCCTCTTCATATGAATCTCTTCAAGTCCGCTATAGCCTCATGGGGCTTAGTGAATATTCTCCTTTTTGATGTGAATTGAATCCAGTGGGATGAGCTCAGAACAGAATACAGAATTGGGCTCAGGACAATTGATTTAGTGATTAGCATGGTGATGTTTGGTCTCTGGTTCTGAACATTCACAAAGAGAAGGGCTTATTAATCTATTCAGAACAGTCAAAGAACGGGAGACGCTCAGGTGGTGATTCACAGGACTAATAGGTTATCCTTGCACAGTGCTCTCTAGATCTATAACCACGTGGTGTAATGATGATATCTCCTGGAAGTCTTGACACTTTGCAACAAATTGCCTAAATGCTAATGTCTAATGGGAGAAAAATGAAGCCCAGGGAAACCTCCCAATAGGGCTGAGCTATTTTATATCCATTTGTTCCAGCTGCAATAGCACTGTCCCCTTAATCACAGCAGAAATCATCACTCACCCCTTTAATTCCACCACCTAGTTAGAATAAAAACCGAGAGGGTGGAAGAACTTAGGATTGGAAATGGGGCCCATCAAACATCAGTAACCCAAAAGGAGTGTATCCAGTGGCTGGGAGGAGAACAGGTGGATACACAGGAGGTATCTGGTGGAAGAGCCACAACATGTAGCCTTTAAAGGGTAAACTCAACTCTATTTCTTTTTATTAAAAAAAATATATATGTGTATGTCTCAACATATGTATGTGTTTCATGTGTTTGCAGGTGCCCATGGAGGCCAGAAGGGGGTGCCAGATCCCTTGGAACTGGAACTAGGTGTGGTGGTGAGCCACCTGATGTGGGAGCTGGGAATGAACCTGGGTCCTCTGCAAGCACTCTTAACCACTGAGCTATCTCTCCAGTCCCTGAACTATACTTTGTCTTGTGCTAATTGACATTCAATGTCTTATACACAGAGGTAAAAGAATGCTATGTACTGATGATTCTTAAATTCTGGTGCTGTGGTTTTTAGCAAATCAGTCCTCCAATTATTTACATCATAACTTGGAGCAAGATAGATGAGATTCACACTGTACTTCAGAGACATCATTTAGTTCCCAGTACTGTTGCATCTAAACACTGAGCACATGTTTATTGTAGTGCATTAGCTGTGGTATCAAAATAGTTGTAACATTGCCCTTTGTGGTAACATTATATAGACTTAAACACTATTAGGACCCTCCACTATGATTAAGTACAAACAAGAAATAACTTTAAGGTAGATTACCTTAAAATACAATGTGACAGAATTAGTGACATAAATTTTATGCATATTGAAAGGTATCACACTTTGGTACACAGTGGAATTAACTCGAGTATCTCAACCAAATTTATTATTGTCATTTGTATACACAATATATTTCTGATGGACTCTTGACCAAATAATTTTTTAATGTCTTCCAGATGTACAATAGTAGTTCAGGTTTGTAGGGTGAGATACGCATTTCAATACATGTTTACATGTTATGTGTCTACAGCATGCAATGAACAATCAGTGTAAGGGTTGAGTTCTTCCCTCTAGCTATTGATAAAGTAGAATATTGTAGAATTAGCCACCCCCCCCCCACAACCCCTGCTTAACAGCATCAGAACTCACTGCTCCTGAGTTTTGGTACCTGTTACCCAGGCTTTCTTTATTCCCAACTGTCATCATTTCTGATCTCTAGTAAAGACCATTCTGCATTCAGATCCAATGCTCTTTAGCTTGCACATATGAGGAGTTCTCAGATCTACATTTTAACAAGTCTGTAAATCAGGGGGTAGAGCAACCAGGAGACCCGAAAGATGGTCAGATGTCTGATATTTGTGTTTCTCCAAAACACTTCCTGTTGACTTTGGGAAAGCATTACATTGTGTTCTCATTCTTCATTTTTTTTTTTTCTGGAGCTGAGGACCGAACCCAGTGCCTTGTACTTGCTAGGCAAGCACTCTGCCACTGAGCTAAATCCCCAACCCCGTGTTCTCATTCTTACTAATATAATGTTGCCAGTCTTCACCCTGGGTATATCTCTAGTTCCTTATGTTCTGTAACATGTGCATGAAATGTAAATATTTGGGTTTACTATAGTTACTTGAAAAGACCTTAAAAATCAAGTTTAAATTCAAGTTATGATTCCCTTTGAAAGGGTGATGTAAAAGGATTTATTCAATGAGATACCTTTGATCAGCTTTAAAATCAATTGCTATTCTATGGAAGAGATTAACCTAGAGAAATTTTGTTCATAATATTGGGCATACTTATCCAATGCTGACTTAAATGATGTTTGACTTCCTAAAAAAGGCACTAAAATTTAACATTCAAATTTCCAGCCATGCGTAAATATGCCATGTGTGATAATCCTGATCTACAAAACAAAATTCCACAGTGTAGATAGTAAGGCAAAAATTCAAATTTTGGGTTCAATTTTGACCTTCTGTCTTTGTTTCAATGACACAAGTCTGATTAAAAATATGCTTTCTCCTGGCCGCAACTGACCCAAACCATCAGTGTGAGTGAGGGCTTCCACATTACTTAAGGGACATGCGATGTGATATGACAGACCTTGTTCTATAGGCCAAGGCTGAGCAGCGCATGTGCACACAGCCTGAGTTCTCACCACCAGCCTGCACTCTGCACTTTCAGCTTTGCATCTAAATATGAATGCATGAATGTATGTATGTGTGTATATATATATATATATATATATTGTGTGTATATATATATATATTGTGTGTGTGTGTGTGTGTGTGTGTGTGTGTGTGTGTGTGTGTGTGTGAAGGCCAGAAGAGGGTATCAAGATCTCTTGGAGTTGGAGTTAAAGACATTCTCAAGACACGTGGATTGTGATATGGGTGCTAGGCTCCAACAGTGGCCCTCAGAGTAGCACAGTAAGCACTCTCAACCACTGGACCACACTTCCAGCTCCAGACTTAAGACTTTTTAAGGCAAATGATCATACTTCGTTCTCAGGGCTCAGTCTCATCATCCCACAGGGACCCAAAGAAGACCTCACAGCAAGGCCTCCATCTCTATCTGGTGCTCTTTATTCACAAGGCTGTAATTGGAATGACTTGAGGCATGGCTTTATGAATTGACCCATATGTTGTCTACTTGTATATGTGGACTCTTCCTGAGGTGTGTGAATGCACAAGTCAGTCCACCTGTGCCGTGCTGATGTAACTCACATAGGTTGTTGGCAATGAAAACACAATCCATGAAGCTTTCTTTCTGTGTCTATTGTATCCTTTCTTTGTGTTCTGTTGTTGCTTATGGAGCCAAGCCCAAGGGTCACAGTAGGGATGGCTGGAGTATTGTAGCCAAATAAATGTGCTTCACTGTCAGATATGGAAAAACGACTTGTAACATGGGCAGGCATAGAACTCCTGGTAAAATGTTTCTGAGGTCAAATAAAATTCCCGCATTTAATGCCTTTTGGAAATTATTCGTGAAATGCTCATGAATTTTAGAAGTTGCATAGATTATTTACACATTTACTAAATTGCACCTCTCTATAAATGCTGAGCTTCTGGAATCTTTTCTTCACCCATTTGCTCCCTTGGCCTTCTTATCCCACATATCTGACGTTCATACAAGGTTTTCAGTTCCTCCAGGACAACACTGTATCTTACATACTTCTGGGCTCTGGTATTTCTTCTATTTTAGAGTCAGTAGACCTTGAAGAGGTCCACAGGCTTGGCTTCAGGTGGACAATGCACTTTCTGAGTTCTGTGATAAATTTGCCATGTAAGTGTCTAAATATTCTTCTAGGGAAGGAGGTGTGGACTTAGAAGATTCTCCTAGATTCCCAAGGACAAAATGTTTAAATGCAGCCATGTCACAGGCAGGCTATGGAGTGTTTGCTGCATGATGAAAAGACTGATTACTTCCATCTTTGGGTAAAATCCATTGGTATATTTTTAATTTGCCTCATTTTCTGTTTTTCTGTTGCATTCAAAGTCAGGAATGCTAGTGGAGGAGAGAATATTTGCCTTTACAAAGGGAGGCTTGACATCCAGTGAGCTATGCTACTTCCCTGAGTAAGTGGCCTAAAAAAGAACAGAGAGAAAATCTCTACATCTACAAGTTAGTTCTGATCTTCCCCCAATAAAAGGCCAAGAAAGAAGACCAACTGGGAAGACTGTGTTTTGGTGATAGTTTGATTAACTTCCTTTCACCAGTGGGCACTTTATCATCTCTCCCATCAGCACCAAGCTCCATCTTAACCAAGAACTATTCTCCAGGGATTCAAGTCTGTGAATCCCTCACGGCAAACAGGTTTCACTGTGGTCAATTTACCCTTCCCACCAAACAAACAATAATCTGTAACCAGGACAGAGAGCTGCTACACAGAGACATCGCTCGGCATGTTTTATTTAACATATCCATGAGCTTAACCATCCAAAAAAGAAACCAAACAATGTTCTGACCTGAATGTTGTAGACAGTGAAGGGAGACAGGCCTTTCAGAATAAATGACCCCGGCACATCCATTCCAGTCTTGCAGAGCTTATTATTTACATAGACAGAAGACTCAGTGACAATGCCATTTGGGTTGGAAGGAGATGTCCAGATGACATGTACAGCTGTACTGTTGATGATGACAACCTCTGGAGGAAGCATGCCCTGAGGCTCTAGAATTAAAGAAGAAACTGAATAAGCCCCAGCTGTCTCCACCAAAGCACTTGTTAAACCAAACGCAGATTGGTACAGCGGCTCAGCAAAGGGCTCCTTGCTTATCTACTTTCCCGTGATGAAGTTAGCACAGTCTGAAGTCCTGTGCAAATTGGCTTATTACACTCTCAGTTAGAAACCATGAGAATTGGTGGCAAAATGCTTCATCTCACCAGCGTAGTGCTAATCTTCAATGCTATGTGACCAGTGGGATATAAATGATAAATTACTCACCCGTCTGCACCTCTAAACATGTATCTGTTATTTGTCGTTTTTCAACCTTTCACTTTATATCTCCTTGGGGTGGGGGGGAATTTGCTCCTTAAGCCAAGTAAAATAAAATAAAATTCAAATACACTGAGGCTACTGGAATGTGAAAAATCATTTGCTGTTACTAGCTTGTAACTCAAGCAATATGAAGCAATAATGCAATATTGTCATTATGTAAATGATTTTGAGTGTTGATTACCATAGGTAATGATGAAATCTAACATTAGAAAAAAATCTTGCTTAGCATTAAATTACACAATTATTCAAGCATGTCAGAAATAACTATGCAAAGGCCTATTTTTATCATAAAAACTCATCTTAACTAGTTGAAAAATCGTCCTTGTGATTCATCCTATTTTATAAACAAAAGGTGCCGACCTTTGGCATCACAGAGGAAATGGGTTCCATCCCTAAAGAGTTCTGCTAATGGCCTGGAACACTTGCTTGGGAGGTAACGATATGATAATGCTTATAATGAGACCATCTAAAGCCAGAAAGATTAGAAAGACCATTCCAGACTCATTTCCGACTCAGAAGTTGATTCTCTGGCTTCCTCTCCCTCGCTAACTGGCTTAGAAACCGAGACATAGGCAATTCTTCTCTGAGGCTGAACTTCCACCCAATGTTTTTTTGGTGACTCGGGGAGGGCTCTTCCTGAACTGGGGTGTCATTTTGAAAAGCACAATGCTATTGAGGGCTAATCTTAGAAAAAAAATGTTTCTGAATGTCACCTTTTATTGACGTGAACTGGCTCCCAACTAAGCGTGCCCTGAGAAGAACATGTGGAAACTGGTCTGATAGGCAGGTATTACAGTTCCATGCTGCTGTTTCAAGGGGACTGGTTTATTCATCTGTCACTTGATGACAACAAGAATGGAAACATTTTGGTTTCTGCCCCCTTCCTTTCAGCGTTGGGAATCTTATAAAGGAGGATCAATCAATACCATAGGCATCTCTGACACCAAGACCCTTTTGGAATCCTTACTCACCCTCATCATATGTGGTCACATGCATGACTGTGCTGTTGATTCCGTGGACTCCATTGAAGACAGAGAGGAGAATCTGATACTCAGTGCTTGGAGCTAAGGCACCAAGGACATGTGAATCAACATCTGGGAAGATTTTCAAGGATTTGTTCAAGGCCCCAGAATTCCAAAACAGCGTGTAATATTTCACATCACCTTGTAGATCTTGAAGAGCTGTTAACAGAAAACATAAATCACTATAAACATGGCAGGTGGGAAACATAGAATAAATTCTCCTGTTAAATATTTCTAGAATGAGAGAGAAGGAAGCTATTAGAGATTCGGCTTTATAAAAAGGTTCTGGCTGGGCGGTGGTGGCACACGCCTTTAATTCCGGCACTCGGGAGGCAGAGCCAGGTGGATCTCTGTGAGTTCGAGGCCAGCCTGGTCTACAGAGTGAGTTCCAGGAAAGGTGCAAAGCTACACAGAGAAACCTTGTCTCAAAAAAAAAAAAAAAAAAAAAAAAAAAAAAAAAAAGTTCCGGAATCTTCTCTGTAGTGAAACTGCTGGAGTTCGATTTTATTTTATTTTTAAACAAATTTTATTTTTTGCTTCACTCTATAACCAATTGAGAAGTTATATTGAGGAACATATGCTTTAGAATTTCATATATATATAGATATATAGATATGTGTATATATATGCTATTTATAATAACCTTCAAAGTGTCAAAATAACTATTTACAAACATATGTGCAATATAAAGTAATACAGCATGGAGGACTTCCATGACTCTTTTCAAGGACCCCTTTACATTAACATCTTGGGGTTCATGCATAAACAGCACGTTTTAATTTTGATTATTTTTTCCTAACTGTGATACTACTTTCCTTTATCTCTAGCAATATTTTAAAAAGATGGGTGTGCCTTTGTGGTTGGGAGGCTTGATGCCAGAAGACTTGGTAATTAAGCCAGCAAACCCTGGAGATTAAAGTGTTTTTTCCTCTGATGTCACCAACCGTGCTCACATTTCCTCAGGATGAAGCCAGTCAAATCCAGTGAAGCCAGGTGGGTTGTCTGTGAGAACGCTCCTTTCCTCACTAGCGATGTTTTCACTGGCTTACAGGGACATCCCTCACTAATCTGCGGCCACCCCACAGCAGGGAGGCATGGTAGATGCCAAGTTTGTGAGTTTGTGCCACTTGGTACCCCAACTAATTTAAATGTATTTTAAAAGTTAAACCTTTATGACATTAAGGAAGTGCTTCCAAACTCTTATGTGACAGACTTCCCGGGGAGACACAGCACCTACAATCTACTCACCCAGAAAGAGACCCACGGAGAACAAGTACTCCAGCACCAACCGTACCAAAGCCTGTTTTGGTGAACCAGTGCTCTCTTTCTCTGGGTCACTCACAGGAGTATGGGTGAGGGGTCACTGGTAAGGAGCAGGCATAACTCAAAAGTAGCTGCATTACTGGAAACCCTACCCCATGATGGGTGGACCCCAAAGCTGGCAACCCTGGGACTATTCTCACAGCTGCAGGCAGCTCCGCCATCTGAATGTGGCTTTCCGTCCTCAGTTTTGCTGGCCAGCATCCCCACATCCAGCAACTGTTTCCTCCTTCTGCGTTGTTGGGAGGGGCCCTCCAAAGTCTTCCAACCACCCAGAGTACGTGACCTCCTATTTACCCCTGTGGCTGGTGGGTTCCCCATTATTCCTAGAGGAAATGTTTCAGTTTGGAGGGGATGTCTCAATTAGGTGGGATATGCCATGAAACACAAGGATAAATAGATTTTACTTATGTTATAGATGTTCCTCAGGAGCACACAGAGATTCACAGATTCCGTGTATTGGAACTGGCATTGCACATTCAAGGAGAACATGAGTATTATGTCAAGGTCTGAAGAAAACCCCTTTCCTAGCCCATTCCTAGCCCAGTTCCATTTGTCAACCCACTTAACATAGAATACAAGCTATTCACTGCCCCAGGGATGAGAGAAAGGGAGGTGGGTTAGGCCTGCTGCAGCAGACTCCGAACGTTACCCTGGTCTTATGACTAGAAACAGGCGGTGAAACTGGATGGCAAGAGCCACCTTTCTGCCTTGTCCTGCCTTTGGCCAAGTGTGCAGCTATTACAGCGTAGAGTCCCAGCACAGACTATCAGCAGGGACACTTGGTGTTGCTACCAGTCACTACCACACCAGATACTCTGTGATACACTGCTCAAGCCACAGCAGCCTCTTCCTACTCACTGAACCAATTGAGAGACAGAAGAGCTGTTTTTCATTCAAGAGACAGAACAAATTCGAGACTGTTGACCTTACTTCCTCTCTGAGAGAGGAAGAGCTTTAACTGAATTAGTCAGCAAGAGAAAGCTAGTAAAGCTCACCTTTTCTGTCTATTGAATAAACCTGGCTTGAATGTAATTTATCTTTTCTTAAGGAGGAAATTATGTTATATGGATTCTTCATTACATAAGACAACAGAAATGTTGCCTAGAAGACTCTGTATACTATCATTTTCAGGAGAAGGAGGTGGAGGTTTTAGAAAACATTTGAATAATGTTCTTCAAAAAAATAACACAAAAGGACATGCCTTTATGAAAAGAAGCTATGGACATACAAAACCACGTGCCTGGAATTGTTAATAGGCTTGGTCTGGAATGGTTGAGAGATCTGCCTTGGAGAAGAAAGGGAAGACACAAACAGCCAGGGCAGAACTGAAACCTTCATTGAGTGAAGAAAATGGGCAGAATATACAGATACACAACACCAGAGACTGAAGGAAATGTCACTTTCCAGAGTGGTAGCAAGACGCCTGCAACAACAACAACGATCTGCCTGCAAGACACACTGGGGCAGCAGCGGCACATGTGGTACAGGAGGAACCAGCTACGCTTGTTTCCATCCATTTAAGGCCAACTCTGTGAGATGGACCCATATCCGACACTTCTAAAATGACCAATGATTTAGATAAGTCATAGGCTCAGGGGAAAACCTGCTACTGTTATTCTGCTAAAGGAACAGAACAATAAAATGACTCCTAATGACATCCTGCTAGACTCGGAGATGAGTGCCTTGGTCAATCCTTACAGAGAAGCTTCTTCTTGCAGTAGATGGTACTTATCAGAGACCCCCAGCTGGACATGTACAGAGAATGAGAGACTTTGAAGCCATGAGCTTTAACTGGGATGTCTTTATCAAACCTCTACCCTCGAGGCTCAGGGAACACTGTGGAAGAGGAGGCAGAAGGATTCTTTTTTTTTTTTTTTTTTTTTTTTTTTAAAGATTTATTTATTTATTATGTGTACAGAAGAAGGCGCCAGATCTCATTACAGATGGTAGTAAGCCACCATGTGGTTGCTGGGAATTGAACTCGGGACCTCTGGAAGAGCAGTCGGTACTCTTAACCACTGAGCCATCTCTCCAGCCCAAGGATTCTAAGAGCCAAAGGTGGCAGAAGACTCCAAGGAAACCACGTCTTTCAGAGACACATATAAACTCACAGAGACTGACAGGACACGTTAGGTCCTCCCAGGTTCAAACCAGACAAAATTCTAGCACAGAAAAGAGGACATGGATACAAATTCCAACCCCTAACCAAGAAGCTACTTGCAATTGATACCTGCTGGCAAAGGAAAAATCAGTTTTTGCCAGTGCAGTGTCCTTGGGTACATCAACCACATTCCAGGGCAGACCATCCCCAGGGGAAGTTGGCCAACTCAAAACAAACTCCAGATTTTTTTTTTTTTTTTTTTTTTTTTTTGGACAGGGTTTCTCTGTGTAGCTTTGCACCTTTCCTGGATCTCGCTCTGTAGACCAGACTGGCCTCGAATTCACAAAGATCTGCCTGGCTCTGCCTCGCAAGTGCTTGTGTGTTCTTTTGTTCTATTTTGGTCTTTTGTGTCTTACTGTTCTGTCGACTTGTGTGTGTTGTTGTTTGTTTTTAAATTTGTTTCTTGTTTTATGCTTTTATGTTTAGAGAGAAAGAACATGAATTTGGGTGGTGGGGGTGGGGTGAGGAGGATCTGTGAACTGAACTGGGGAAGGACAAAGAGTACGATCAAAACCTATTTCATGAAAACATTTAAATAATAAAAAAAAACCCAGACAGACCAATTTAAAGGGAGAAATCATTTCTTTTGATTCAGTGTCAGAGGATTTAGGCCAGAGATACTGGACCTTACTCCTAGAGGCCTGAGGTGAGGCTGAACTTCATGTGTGAGAGTGTGTAACCAAGAAGGCTAAATCCTCCTGAAGGACAGAGAGCAGAGAGCCAAAGGGTGCAGATCAGTCAACCTTCACACACTCCCAGTACCAAACTCCTCCAGTGAGGCCTATCTACTAAGGTCTCTACCATCTCTCAGAATAGTTCTGCCAGGTGTGGATGAAGAGGACAAAAACAGAGTCCGTGTGAATGTTATATATTCAAACCATAACAAAGATAAGAATGGGTGGAAAGCAATCCCTGAATTTAATTACAATTATTACAGTATATTATAGATATTGAGGACTGTGAATGGAAAAATTCACCTTGAAAAGCAAATGCAGCAAATAATCATGGATTTATTAGTTAAGTCTTATCCACAATGAAGAGATTTTCATAAACAGAATATAATCTGTCTTACTTCTCTGTTGCTATGACAAAATGCCAAGATCAAGGCAACTTATAAAAGAAAGAATTAATTTGGTGTTCACATTTCTAGAAGGTTAGAGTCCATGACTATCATGATGGGGAGCATGGCAGCAGGTAAGCAAGCATGGTTCTGGAGCAGTAGTTGAGAGCTTGAATTTGTATCTATAGGATGGAGAGCAAGAGAACAAATCTTGGCCTAGAGTGAGCTTTTGAAACCTCAAGCCCATCCCCACTGCCACACCCCCAACAAAACCATACCTACTAATCCTTCCCAAACAGTTCCACCAGCTGGAGACCAGTTGTACTCAAACATATGAGCCTGTGGGCTCATTCACACCCCCACACTGTCTTACCCAAATGCTGACACTATACCCAAATGTAGATCTGGCACAGAATACTATGACTAAAGTACATGAAATGTTAAAGGCTATCCACAGTAGGATACACTTGTTACTTTCCTTATTGCTGACACAGAACACTCGATGGAAATGACCTCAGAGCATTTATTTTGACTTGGGTTCTGAGGCTACAGTCCTTCACGGTGGAGAAGGCAGAGATGGGCAATGGAGGTTCTTCATTTTCTGGTGCTTCAGGAAGCAGGCAATGGGACAGGGATGAAGACTGGGCTGTAACCTTCTAAGCAAGCTCTCCGTGACCTTCCTCTGCCAACTGAGTACTGTGACCCAAAAGTTTCACAACTTTCAAAATGGCCTCACCAGTTGGAAGCCTAGTGTTCAAACTTATGAGCCAGTGGGGACGTCCACATCCAAAGCATAGGGGGGCAGGGAGGACCAGACAAGCTTCAGAAGACTCAGCTAAAGTATGTTTCAGGAGGATAAAATAGTATCAGCATGTTTTGAGGGGAAACATTTGATCCACGAATATTGTCTGTATCTATATGATCATTTGTGTACAAAAAGGGCAAAGATAGCCCTGTACTGACAAAAATGAAAAGAATGTGCAAACATGAAAGGGAGATTCTCTTATATAGGCAAAAATTAATGTACTGTTACATTAACAAAACCCTTTCATGATGATCCAGTGAGATACCTCAGAGGGAAAAGCACTAGCTACACAAACATGACCTTCTAAGGTCAATCCTCGGAGCCCTGGTGGAATGAAAATCAACTCCCTCAAAGTGTTTCTCCTTGACCCCATTGGAGAACTCTGGCATTTACACACACACACACACACACACACACACACACACACACACACACACAAACAAAAAGCAATCATAACAATAATAGTAAAATAAGCAAATGATGTCCACAATGCAATCATCATCCAGAGGACAGAGAGGTAAATTGAAACCCAGAATTTAGAATTGGGGAAATACAAGGATTGATGATAAGAACTGAAGTCATTTTGAGAAAATAGTTCTCTAAGTGTTATATAACAATGAAAATGATTTATATATCAAACATTGAGAATTACAATAAGAAAAGCAAGGAAAGAACACATTAATTTTTTATTATATGCAAAATAGAATGACATTTTGGAAAATGGCAAAAGGTATTACTAACTATGAACATACACTAAATTAAAATAAAGATAAATGTTTAAAATGAATGTAGAGATAATTGTCTTTAGGTGAAATCTTTTGATGGGTAAAAGGTGACAAAATATTATTCCTTTTTTCTTTTTACCAATGCTTTAGGTATGGAGGAGAATGGAGAAAGAAAATATGATCTATGTGTGGAAGCTTATGTTGTCTATCTGTCTACCCCCTGCAAAAGTCTGAAAACACAGAGACCTATCTTTACCTCACAAACATATGTGATGGAAGCAGGCAAATTGTCAAGTAGCTTCTCAAAAGGCTCTGAGCCAACCCTTCCTAGAGTTAACTTCTGCGCTCACCAAGTCTTATCTGAAAAACTTCCAAGGTATGAATGAGAATAACAGCAGGTTTTATTGCCAATAAAAATGCAAATGTCAAATGGCTTCTCTTTGTCGACTTGTGATTGGTAAAAATTTACCAGGAACATTTGCTGTGCATTTGTACCAATCACAGTAGAGGGGGAAAAAGTCTTTTATTATAATCTTCTCTGTGTATGATATGTGTGCATGTGCAGGTTCATGTGTGTGAGTACACACATACTATGGTGTACCCATGGAGGTCAGAGGGCATGCATGGGGGGTCAGTAGACAGCCGCAGGTGTTGATGCCCACCTTTTACTTTGATGCATAGTCTCTGTTTACCACTGTATAGCAGATGATCTGTCGGAGGGGCTTCTTGGGAGTCCCCTACCCATGTTTTATCATGTAATAGGTGTGCTGGGGCTACCGATTGAGACAGCTCCCAGCCCAGAGTGAATGAAGTAAGTGTGTGTGTGTGTGTATACACACATATATATTTCATGATATTTTGAAAGATGATGTTTACTAAGCCAAGTTGTAAAAATTTATTCCTAAGATTTCCAACTCCAACATGTGCTAAACAACAGCTTTGTACTGTTGAATTTAGTAGGTTACGCACCAATTTTTCTTCCATCAAGCAAGAAAAAAATATTAAAATTAAAGTTGCAAAAATAGGCAGCTCCTTTGCAGAGGAGTGACTAGTTAATTGACTTAGGATAGCCGCTTGCACAGCGGAGGGCCAGGATCCTGCAGCAGGCTTTCCCAGACCACCCTTCTCAGAGTTAACCTTTGTACTCACGAAGAGTTATCTGAAAAATTTCCAAGGTATGAATGGAAACCACAGCAGATTGCATTACCTACATGCCGAAGGTCAGAGGTTCTGATTACCGAGGTAATGAAACTTCAGCGGGCCGCTTCAGATCTATTAGGTTTGTCGGCTTCTATAAGCACGCTGACTTCGGGAATGCAAGGATATCAGGTATTCAAGCAAGAACAGAGCAGCCACGTCTTCACTTTAGTATTCAAGTATTACAAGGAGGGGGGTGACTACTTTCATGGGCAAGCTCTTAAGATGAATTGGTAAGCAAGGTGGAGCGGGGAGGAAGGATGGAATGGGTGAAAACACACACACATACACACAAGCACACACGCGCACACACACACACAGGCACACACACATACGTACTCACACAAATAAATTCAACCTCAGTTAAAACCTATTTTTTCTGGAGATGTTACAGAAGGCAAACAGAAGATCAATTAATTCAAAATTTCCCATCAAAATGGTTCAAATTATTCTAATCCAAATGCCAAAGATCATTACAAACCAACATACTTTCACAAACCCTGGAGGGTTTTTTTTTTTTGATATATATTTTTTATTTTACAATACCATTCAGTTCTACATATCAGCCATGGGTTCCCCTATTCTCCCCCCTCCCACGCCCTCCCCTTACCCCCAGCCCACCCTCCATTCCCACCTCCTCCAGGACAAGTCCTCCCCCGAGGACTGTGATCAACTTGGTAGACTCA